GCCACTACACCGCTTCCGCCTCTTTTACAACGGCAATAAGAGCAAATTCATCTCTATGGGGATTGGAATGACTGTCTGCCGGGGTGTTATTCACCCATGGGACATGCAGGCGCATCGGGACGCTACTAATCGTTCCACTAGTGCTGCTTCAGAACTACTACACTTGAAATGACAGAAGTGGGACCGTGATAGAACTCAGTCATTTCAGATAAATTCCAAATACAACTACAAGTAACACCATAGCGGCCCGCCCCAAAGGGTCCACAAAGGAAGAGGACATTTCAAGGGTGGACGATCGAACGATCATTGAAGAAGGATCCGATGAAAAAACCTCCGAATAATCTTACGATTTGTTTCTGTCACGCTCCTATCGGTGCCGAGAGATCTCTGAATGCTCGAAGGACAGCCTTATCGGAAAACATCAGCGGTCGGCAAAATGACATCTTCGGCTAGGCTACCTACTCAAATTTCCCGAAAAACTGCTCTGGAAACCGGATTTCCCATCAAAACATGGGGCTCTCAGGTTCAGTATTTGTAGACCAAATAAACAGCACACGACGAGCAAATCTACGGAGTACATCTGATCCCCCATTGGTCACGCTGTCAAGAGGCGTTTTCCCAATAAGGAATTTGTGCCGACGAGAGCGATCTTATCTCGAGTAGACGGCTAGTATGTAACAGCGACGAACGTGAGCATTGCGCTAAAGAGGATTTCGGGGACTACAAATGTGGCTAACGACAAAGTGCACATCTTTCCCAACTAATTAATATGGTTATTTATGCGTGTACGGACGGCGTGCATATGAAATAGTGCAGATTTGAGCTCTAGTACGAGAACTGAACATTTGACAAAAAATTGAAGGTTTCTTCCTTTACTCCACAGAAGACCATCAAAAACGATGGAACATCTGTTCTGAAAATGGGCCGCACATTCGGCTTCCATTCGGAATCGTGGTAGCATTCGAATGTGATTTGGCTTTTCACAATGAGCTGCGAGGACTAGACAGTGGACAAGTCGAAGTCAATTTTTTAGCATTCCAGATAATGATTTCTTGACCAAGATCATGGAAGGTTTAGTAAACTCGGGGTGGACTCCAGCTAGGATTTGTCCCAGACCTTGCACCGGCAGCGCCACTTCCCATTAACATCACAGCCCATCGTCGGGAAAGAACTTCAATTGAATATCTGAGTGATGAATGAAGCTCTAATTGATCCCCTAGGGATCCGCCATGCATATGATGCTTAATATGCATTTAAGAGTGAGCGGAAGTGGTGCAGTGACAAGTGGCGCGCTTACCACGCGAGCGGTCCGGGATCAAATCCTGGGTCGTGAGTCGCCCGGGCCAACCAAGCCTTCCATCCCTCCGGGGTCGGTTAATTGGTACCAGACTTGTCTGGGAGGATAAAAACACTGACTTGTACATCGGCTGGCCCCCGCCCAGCCACGTCAGTCAGTAGTGTTATAGGACCGCGTAAGTCTGATTCGAGTGTCAAACGCCACTACGGCATGTACTAAGTGGAATAGAATTTGGCATGCAGCATCCAAAAACGGGACTTGGCATCATACGGCTAACATTCTTTATCCCTTTATCCCCTATGTATTTATGAAGGCATCCAAATTGGTGCTCGAAATCATCTGTTCAAGGTAGCCGACGCTGCTATCGGCGATATGGCCACCAGAACAGCTATTTTATCAATCAGAGGGAATCTTCTTCCTTGAAGGTGTGGAGTTTCCCGTTAGTGTGCCTTAAAGCTGAACCTTCCCTGGTCGATCCGCGGATAACGAATCTGATAGCAGCGCATCTGACTCAATGCTACTGCGGGATGGAGCCAGCCTAACAAGGAGAGTGTTCCAGGGCAAGCTCTGCGCACTCGTCTCTTGAAACGGTTCCGCGCACATTGCCATGGTACGTGTGGACCACAAAATCATGTTCATTCTCGCATGGTTTTAGCACCAAGAAAGTAGTGACCATTACTCTCAATTGGTCGGTCCCCGCTGAACAAATTTTGTACTCAAGGTTGGCGGCTACTTCTGGCGTCAATATAGTCATAGCCATAAGTATGACACCTGATTTTGACATTTATAACCATTTTGGAACAACTCGTTAGACGAATAACCGAATGAAAAATTGTATATGGTCGCTCGATGGGATCGACGATTAGTAATACTACTGCGCTATCTTTTTTTGGTAACTGCCCTAGAACCGCTCCAGCCGCTAATGAACTTTGTTTGTACGTGATTCACATGGCCTCCTGCACAATTAAATCGAAACCTTTTTGAAAAAGCATGGCTTATTCTGTAAGGCCCCTTGCAAGCTGGTCTTTACTGCCCACGACACTGTCCATTTTGCTGCACAAGGAGACTTCAGACTCCTGTTTATTTATTTATTTATTTATTTATTTATTAACGTACATCACACGAAAATATGATCTGATATTAAGTAACCGTATTGAAACCTATGTGATTTCAGTGTGGTCCGCAATTCATGCCATGATAGAAACAACATAAATTGGATGTCTGCCAACTATCGCTGCTCGAAACGACTAGTATTCATGTTAACGAGGCAATTTCGCGGCTCATGGCCTTTTAGAACCATCGGAGATAGCGGCCTGGGGTCCCATGGCTCGTCAGCTAACCAGCCAGCCCGCAGACCACTTTGTGTTTGATATTATTAGCCCTGACACATTGATTCTAGCGGCGACGATGGATGGAGTGGTTCCACTAGAGCGGTCATTTTATGCCACACTAGTAGGTCTCGTTGAGCTCAGATGATATAGGAGTCAGGGATCGCTCCCATTTGTTCCAGAGAAAGTTTCCAAGGGAATGATTGCGGAAAACAATCTTACTTAGACATACTGTTATAAGTATTTGGTGATAAGCAGGTGCAATGATAACGCAGAAGCTAGAAATGGCGTATTCCACTGGATCGAATTCAGTTCAAATCAAACCCCATGAGGTGAGCAAAATAGCATACTGTTGAAAGGGTGAAGAAAAAACTAGTCCTTGGTTCTCTTCTTGGGATGTGCCCTTCCTTCATTACAACCCTGACTCTCTTCTTTGGATGTGCTTTGCATTCACCCCAACTACAAGCTGTAGTGGCATTTGAATGCATTTTCGCTTGTGGGAGCTAGCCGATTATTTATAAGTAGTTCATTTTGAAAGTCAGATAGATTTTGATAAACAAGTGTGGCACCAATTAATCAATCCTGGAGCGATGGAAGGTCTGGTTAACTCTGGCGAAGATCTGCGAGTTCACCAAGAAAGTGGGAGGCGGCGCTAGCTGCCAATACATCACTACCGCGAAAAATATTCTACTGGAGCTGTAGGACTAACAAAACTTAACACTCAACTACTTGTGTGCAGTATTTAATGCCCTAGTTGGGGGAAAATAGGGCTAGGATGACGTATAAAGACAAAGATCGGGAGCTCGTTTAGACGAAATTGAACGGAGCTTCCAGTACCACCGATTCAACGAATTCGGATTGTGAGGCTGCTCGTAGCATTTTAGACATTTCAACCTTATTGGAAGCCTTTACGTCCCCAGTCATGGCTGACACCTGTGCAAAGCAATCTGTGGAAGTATAAGAGAGCACCGGTAATAAGAGTTGACCAGCGGCACGTGCACAAAGAACCGTTCACAGTAGCGGTCAAAAGTGTTCCCCGGAACGGTTTTTCGAGTATTAGTTTTTTCCTCACTTTAGCAATTGACTTCAAATACTGGAATGTTTTATAGATAAATAAATTACTGAATATGTTATATCTCTAAAAGCATTGGAGTCGAGTGAAGATTCACTAGTTCAAAAGAAGTCTCCAACTCACAAGGGAGGTCTTTCAGGGTGTGGGGCGCTTTTTCGAAGCCCCTTTTTCATGCTGTAGGATCTCTCACGTGGACTACAATACTATGCTTCGTTTTCGCTAAGCGCCCCAGACGCCAAAAAAGACGAAAAAAGTTGCTAGGAATGGGTGCTTCTTCCAGCCTTGGAGATGAACAGTGATACTGCCAAGCCAAAGAGAAAAGAGCTCATTTGGGGACAAAGGAAACAGACTAGCTGTAAGAAACAAGGCATTAGTATGAGACAGTAAGAAGTGAGGTTAAGCAAGAGATCTGTTAGAACAAGCGTTTAGCTGCCTCGCTGTGCTATGGTAATGCTGCGGCGGGTTTATAGCTGACCCACTGATAATTGTCGTTTCCATGGACTAATAAAAATGTGTAGAAACTCACTAGGCTGGTGATTTGGCGCGTCACATTCCAGTTTTGCACCACCATTGTAAAGAGGTACGACGCTGCCGCGATGAGGTCGAAACGAGTCCAGAAATGCCGGCTTCAGCAATATTGAAGGCCCTCTGAAAAAAATTTTTCCAGAAAGGAAAACCAGCGCAATAATTTTTTACTCAATACTTATTGGTGAGATTAAGTTGATGCGAGTAACGAGTGTATAGATTATATTATCAATTCATTATTTTTACAAATGCGATAAACATACGAATGTATTAGGTCGTGAAGAAAGTTCTTGCGCTTTTCGGTGTTTCGTTTTTGAACGCTTTATTTTGTTACGAATTCAAGCAAGCTGCCAATGAGCTGTATGTGGTTTTGAAGAGCTTTTCTTGTTCTATCTAACAGCTAGGCTAGCTATGTTCCTTATTATTTAGTTGTCATTTTTTGAAGCCTTGAATACGGCATACTCCAAGAGCAAATTTGCATGATTTCCTTTTTCTAGCTCAAAGCAGGCCAGTATGGAGAGGAAGCAGGTCAAGATATTATAGACGCACTTGGCTGAGATTCGCAATAAATATGGTCTGAAAGCAATTGTTCAAAAAGCTTTTGTAAGAATAGCGAGAGCCCCAAAGATTGTGAGGGTGGTGATCGGAGATTGGACGAACGCCAACGATTAGTCGAGCGTTCTGGTTGAAGCACGTTTGCACAAATCTATTGAGAGGGTTCCTCCTAAACTAATCGCACTTGCATTGTGTTTTCTTGTTGTACGGGAAGAGCTGGAAAGTCAAAAATTCAAATAGGGCGTGCCGCGACAGCTCACCATTTTGAAGGGTCGTTCGCCGCGTTCTAGCTTGTTTCATGCCATGAAAAGGACCTGATCATTTGCGACGCACGACAAAGAACGGATTCTTTGCTACAGAATACGAACCTTTGGTGAAGTGATCGACCGCGATCAGGCTCTACAAACTTTGCAAAAGTGAAACTTCACTGAAGGAAGGTTGAGGTGACTTTCATAAGGTCAGCGGCTGGTCTAGCTTTCGTAACCAGGTGGATCTGTTAATGTGGAAAAAGTACTCCTGATAATGTGTAAAAACTACTCCTAGAACTCTGGCACATATGCTCGAAATTCCTCATTATAAAGGAACCGGCTCGTCCCTGACAGGTAGCTCGGACGCACATTCCACAACCAACCCAGCAGATGGATACAGATTGGTACTGAATAAGTCTTGCGAATTTCTTCTTGGTGACTTTTGTATATTATGTTACTTTCTCGTACTACTTGGTTCAAAAACAAACATGATTGCGAAAACGAATCGCCGGGTTTTCATCGTCGTAGAGCTCGTATCCGCACTTTACTGAGCTGATTCAACGCAGCTATTATTGGCAGAGGTTTGTAGATTCTAACAGTCTTTACTCTCAAAGAGGTTTCGAATGAGCCGAGATACAGGCTTTGAAAATCAAGGTCGAAAAGCGCAAGAACTTTCTTCACGACCTAATTTATTTATGGTTTTGAGCTCTCGACAGCTGGCCGCTTGTAATTTTGCACGGGCTAATGTTGGAACAAGCTCTGATCTATGGACTTCATGTCGTAACAGCTTTTCGTTTTTATCAAACTAAGAAGGCAGATTTGTGCCATTTAGCGGGACGATCGAAGTAATTAAGTTTGCTGCATGTTGTTGGCCTATTTCAAAAGGCACAATTACGTGTCACCGTAGTCTGTAGAAATCCAACCAACCTGACTTCCCCGTGTCGATTTTTTGCGGTACAGTGAAACGAAGAATACGCTAGTGATGGATCAGCTGGAACCAGCAGCGATCCACCAGACAGCAAATATGGCACACTGGAACCGGAAGGTGTCACCTGAAAACTGGTCTGATTTGGATATACAGGGTGGCCGAAAAGTATAGGACGCCATGTTTTTGTGTGTAAAGCCAAGAAAGAGACTCGATCAGGAAACCGACTTCACACAAAGATAGAGTTAAGCTATTTGATCACTTGTGCAGAAGGTGCTTTGAATTTGACGACTCTGCTTTGAGAGAGGCCTTCTGACGTCCAACGACAAAATCAGCAGTGCGCCGCAGGTAGCCAACGGCGATGTCGTCCCCTCTTCTGAAGCGCTAACTTCAGAGCACCCACCGAGCTGGAGAAGTCTTATGAGGTCTTGCTCTACAACATCCTCACATAGAGGAGTCCATCGGTTAAGGGCCTGAGAGGAAGAAGGTCACAATTCCTTGCTCCAGTGGCCCGGAAGTGAAGCGAGACGCCCAGGGAGAGAAGAAAGAAGGGCAAGAAGAACCAGGATGGCTTTGCGATTTGAACGCTATTAGGAGCTAGGACTAATTTGTGAAGAACAGAGATCAGGTGAGCAAGATGCTCGTTAAATCCAGAGAACAACATGCCGTACCTCATTGAAGTCTTTTGCAGGACCTTCAAGTTAATTTTAACATTTGTGGAAGATGACTCCAATGGAGCTGCACTTTTGGATGTTACCCCTTCACAAAATACCACATTTTCGGGAGAAGTGTTGGTTCTGAATATGCGTGATTCGGCGAGTGCGCTCCTTTTCTGGCAACAAATGCCTCGATTTGGCGTCGTAAAGAAGTTTAAATCGAAAATTTTCATTAGGCCCAATCCTTAGGAGAGATGCGGCGCACCTCGAGCCTCGTGCAGAAACTTTTTACATTTTATCAGTTGAATCTATTCGAGGTTGCTCCAATAAAAACCAGCATAGAAAGAAATCGGTAACCCCTTCAGGTAATGACTGCTTCCGCTTCACGCTGTTATCCGTTGTTGAGCCAGGTGATGCCCAATCGTTATGATGTGCGCAGTTCTTGTAAGTTCACTTCTCGCAATTCCGAGACGTGTGCGCGAACCAGTTGATACACCGAACATGTTCCAAAGAGTTGAAGAGGTAATATCGAGTCCCTTTCCAAAGTTGCAATTTCAGAGACCGTGATTGGGCAGCCTCTTGGTAATGGGTCGATGCAAAAAAATCTTCATGGCGCGAATTCAGATGAACTTCGGATCAAACACAATTGTGGTGCTTTGAAATAGGATTTCGAAACTTCAAATATTTTGAAACACTTCTGAATTCCACGGCTCCTGTGCAGAACGGTTCCAAGCGAGCTCATATATTATCGGATTACCTGGTAGATAGTTTTTTTTTCTTTACTCAAGAGCAATATTCTGAAGATACCACTTTAAGGTCTCCTTTAGGTCGTAAAATGCCAACAAGAACTCCCTTCAGAGCTAGCTTCAGAGAAAGTGGGAAATTTTGAACCAACCACGTCGATGTCGTTTCTGAACCAAGTGATCGTCGGTGGAGGGTTGCCTTCAGCAGCGCACGGCAACACAACATAGTCGGCATCGTCACGAGAATGGAAGAAAACCTCTGTTGGGGCCGACGATACAAGACGTGGGGCTCCTAAATTTCTTATTACCTATTTTATTCCATTTCAGTACTTTATTTGTTACTTTTATTCTCACTTAGATTATTTATTCAAATCTTTGTCTAATATTTCATTTTACGGCTTCATTTTCCGAATTTCCACTTATCTCCTTCACTGTGGATCCTCCTTATTGACCATAAGGGATCTCAAGCTGAATAATGGCGAGACAACACGGTGCGACCCCACTTGGCCGATAGAGGGCAAATCAAGAAGCAACACCTTTTGAATTCAATATCTCAAATTTTAGCTTGTAATCTTGAGTCCACTATACGTCAACTTCTAAGACTTTTTATACATTTTTGGCCAGGTTTTTGAGCAGATCACATGCATCTGTATGGGCTCGTTTTTTCAAGAGCTTTGTTTTATCTCAAAGCAAAAGCATAGCCGGAAGCGGTCAAAAAATGGCGATTGTGGGCAGTAGAACTTGCTCGTGCCTTTACTTTCCGAAAATTCTAGAAGCTAGAGCTGAAAATAAAGGGATAAAGCATTGTGTCGACAAATATTCCTTTTGAGGTACGCCGCGCAACCCTTTTCCATCCGAAATGATCGTAGCACTACAATAACTTACAGGGGCACTACATGTAGAAAAAACCGATGCGTTTCTTCTGCCACAAATTCTTCTAGCTGCTAATCATGAATCTGGAGATATACTGTGCCAGGAGGACTGATTCCTGTGGTACGTGACGCCAGTTGCAAATGCACCATCTAAGGATATTATACGAACGCTATGAGTTTCTTTTTTTTTACCGCAATTAACAGTTGAAAGCATTTTGTTGGAGAACTTGTTTGGACAGCTGCTCGTTATCGGCTTCATGTGTTCTGTTGCTGCCTTCTTCCCCCCCCCCCCCTCCCCCTTTTGCGTCCTTTTTTCCGTCTGCTTGTTGACATGTGAATGTTCGAATTAGGAGAGGAAAATAGCAGTCAGCAACTTTCACAGAAATGCTGAGTTATGGCAAAACTTCCGACCCCAAAAGCAGCTAACCGGTTGTGAAAATAGCTAAGCAAAGCATAAATACCTGTACTGAGCAACATTTGCTGAATGAGCAACGAACGTCTCCCGATTGGCGTCAGCGAACAGACGAATGGAAACACAGCCGAGGATGGTACATCAATTCTAGAGAATGAAATAAATAATTAAATAAAAATATAAATAAGAAGAACACAATTTTTTGCTCTCGGTCCCTCGTATTTTCTTATGTACTTTTACGTTTGTGCATACGTAACGCGGCGCGTAAAGGCCCTCCAAGCGGCAGGGTCAACCCTATCGTTGTTACTCTTTGGAAATTTTTTTACGACCCCCCCCCTTCATGGGTGATTTGATACGACCCCCCTTGTATGTAACACTTGTGTAGAGACAGTGTTTGCCATCAATATTTATTGCTACGTAAGTCCCTTTGGCCTCCTGACGGTGGAGCGCATTTGCTCACGGTGAAGAGGCGTCGAACGGGGAGTGTGAAAATTCGAGGAGTTTTTTTTTTTACATTTCAGGTAGTTCGGAAGATTCAGGTGGATTTTGGATCGACGTGGCTCCTTCTTTCCTAACGAGTGCTCATTTGTTCTCAAACACTTCGGAATGAATAAGTTATTAGGCAAAAAAAAAATTGAAACACAATTTTTACACTCCTCTTTCTAGGGCTATAACTTCCTTCATATTCGAGCTTCTGCGCCGAAGTGATTTGATTTGGAAAATTCAAATTATTCTCTCTCCAACCATGGGTAAAAATTCTTCGAAAGTTAATTTAATAAAAATTTAGTACGTTGTTACTTTTTTCTGTGCAAAGCGACTTTTTGACCTTCAAACGATCATAACTTCCTTCAAAGTCATTCATTTGGGAAGCTGAACACGTATAATAAACTACAGGATTCAAGCTTTCTAACGAGCACCCAAGCGTTCCTGAAAGATCAGTAGTTCAAAAATTAGTCCCGTTGTTACTTTTTTGGGGGTTTGCGTTACTATTTTTTTGGAACCGCGACTTTTTGACCTTCAAACGATCATAACTTCCTTCAAAGTCATTCATTTGGGAAGCTGAACACGGTGTAATAAACCACAGGTTTCAAGCTTTCTAACGAGCACCCAAGCGTTTCTGAAAGATCAGCAGTTCAAAAATTAGCCCGTTGTTACTTTTTATTTTGAGGGGTATTCTTCAAGCCATTTTCTCGAAAACGCGAGTTTTCTTAGGTTTCACTGCCCGTAACTTCTTGGAAGACCAATTTTATGTTTAATTAGGATGTGCTAGAAAGCTTCGAGCATGCGCTTGCACTACATCCCTTGCCTTGGTGCGCGCCACGCCTCGGGCGCCCGCTCGATTCGCTGACTCATTTGAAAGCTCATTTAGAAGGAAGCGTGGTTTATAGATGCTCTAGTATCAGTCATCTTGCGCAAACGTAACGTGCTGGCTATTATCCATGTTTTCACAGGCAATAGTTTCATATGTGGTTTCGTGGCTTTGTCCATGTCATGGTGCGAGCACTTTTTCAGACGATGCTGCATGTCTTCCTCTTCATGACTGCGGGGAGAAGGCTTTGCATAATTGCACTAATATACACTACATAATATACACTTTCTGTGCTGCGTTTGCTCTTCCCCTTCGTACCACTATCCATGATCAGTAGGATATCACCAAGAATCCCACTGCCGGCCACCGAGAGAGTACGACCCCCCCTCCAAGCTCAACTGAGTACGACCCCCCGTTGTTACTCGTAACAACGTAGGGTTGACCTGCCTGCCAAGGAGGGTTAATCGCGGAGTTCGGCCTATTTCGAACATTTACATACTGCTTTCTGAGAAGGTATCGATACATCCGACTCCTTTCACACCGACCCCTGTTTCCGCACCCCTAACTAAAAAACGCTTTATTACGAAAAGAAATCGACAAAGACGTATTTGATAGGCGCACTTACACTTACATCCAAATAAATAAATAAATAAATAAATAAATAAATAAATAAATAAATAAATAAATAAATAAATAAATAAATAAATAAATAAATAAATAAATAAATAAAATAAACATTGGCGCCATTTCCTCGAAGATCAACTGAAATTCTTCCCCGAAGACAATCTCTTACCCGGGTGAGGCCCGTGACGTGGACACGCAACCAACACCATGCATTTTTCATACAAAATGGCATCCAGCCGTGAGCCGATTTGCTCGAGTCAACACACCTCCAAAACACCTGAACATCACTGACCGGACGTCCGAAGTGGCTTGCCGCGGTGCTTTACGACTTGGCATAATTTATGACTGACAACCAAAAACCAGGGAAAGATGATTGAAGATTTGAAGGTTGCAACGAGGGCAATACTTTGGTACTTTGGGCACTTTGCCACATTTAGGCCTTTCTTGCAATTTGAAAACTAGACTCTCTCAACAAGATGGAATTAGGTTGCGCAAAATTCTAAGACCATGTAGGCCAAGGTGCAACCTGCAAAGCCGTGTGAAACTAGGCACTTTAAAATACTCGTAAGGAAGTACTGGAACCGTCCAAATCGAGACATATTCCCCACTGCTGACTATGACCTTAGACACTTAACGAGAGGAGCTTTATACCGCTGATGGGCCTGACAAGAAGAACGGATAGACCGGTTCAGACGGGCTCCAAAAATTTCTGAACGAGAATCTACACCTTGAAGCTCAAGCAGTTCAACTTGGGCTAGGGATTAATCTTGAAATGGCCACATTTGTAAACGTCGTGAGTAAAAAAAGCAGAGCTTCCAGACTGCCATAATTGCCCTTCCAAGCCATCAGTTTTTGCGTAGCGATACCAAAAGTGGGCATTACTCATGGCTGCCTATTAAGTACTGAATGGAAAGACTGGTGTCTACCCTTGCTGAATTCTCCAGTTGCGGTTACACAGATGGGATTGGTGAGGATTCGGAAATCCGGAGATGGCCACCAGTACTCAGCATAGATTGAATTTCACCCACTGATCTTTGCCTTTGATGTCTCGCCTTCCCTTCAGCTCTACAATTGCAAGGAAATTCTGAT